CAAAAGGAACAAAACATAAACTTATTAAAATAGGTTAACAGTAAATGGACTAATAATTATTATTGGCAGTGGACGGACATAATTAACATAATTTTCTTATGTCCAAAAAAAAAAGTATTTTTATGACGTGGTGCCATACATAACAATATTGGCTTTTTTTGTTCGTTCTATTCTTGCTTCTTGGTTCCGAAAGAGTTTAATGAATGTGGTGGAAGGGAAATGTCTTCATGTTTAAGTCTGAATGATTATTAATTGCTGATTGCCCAATATGCAGATATAGTTTTTGTGCGAATAGGACGTAGGAAAATAACTAGAACAATTAAGAACAATTTTCATGAGACGGTGAATGTGATGGAAGTGGAACGATAAGAAAGTATGCGATTTTTATTCAAGAAAATGACTGGTCGAGCCTGAAATTCTTTTTACTTTATGTATGTGCTTGTGGATGTTTATCGCAACATCTGAACAACGACAATTTTAAATCAATTAACTGTTGTTGCTGTTATTATTATTTATTAAAGGTTATGGAAATTTTTTTTGAGTAAATACTGAAAAATTGTAGAATTTTCTGATTCATTTGTGGGGGACGTTCAGCAGTGAGGTTTGATATTCTACACAATGATTGATGACCGCGACCTAAACTTCATAGGATAAATTTAAATATTGTGGAATCGTGTTAGAGTAGAAACTGAGGTATCATGCAAATAATAAGCGAATCTGCCGTGCTAAACTGCTCGAATGGTAAAGCAATAAACTGAAAATCTGTTTTAAAATCATTCTGATTTGTCAGGATGTGTGTTCGATGCTTAACAGATGCCAATGTCCAGCGCTGGTTATTACAACTTAATTATAGATTGACCAACACTCTAATCACTACGCAACTGCTTTTTCGCTGCTTCAAAATTTCCAAAAAATTACTCAAATCAATTGACATTATTTATGAACAGTCCCATTAGAGAAACTTATATTCTCGGTATTTAAAATTTCTCAAGCAATAATTTGAGCTAGTTTTGAAATATGCAAGAGACGCTAGAAAGTTCTCTAAAAATTTTCCATGCTCAGTCTAAGCCGACAGTCGATACAATTAAATCAGACACAATAGGTCGAGCAGCCAACTGACCTTCAGCCAACATCGAATGTGCGCTTGGTCTGCATTGGTGAGTCTCGACTGATTTTGTGAAAAATAATTATGGTGGACTTGAGATAATTGGATATCCTGTGGAGATAGTTGTGATGAATAAATCTTGGAGACTGGATGATGAATTAGGAATTATTGAAGCTATGGATGCAAAATTTAAAGATTTGATGGTTGTTTTGGTTTATTTTAGTAAGAACAATCTAAAGAAAGGCAATAACATTAAATTTTAAGTTAATATGATGTTAATCATTGCCTACAAAGCTACTGATGAAGATCAGGCTCTATGATCGACTGGAATTGGCAGATTGATTCCAATAACTTTAAATTTTCAAGGTTTAATGATGAAACTGATGTCCAGCTCTTCAAACTAGACCAAAAATCACGATCAACGGTAAAACATAATCTAAGTTTCCCCATAAAGGCAAAAACTCATTGATTCAATAAAAAAAAAACTTTCATAACATGTCCATAAACAGTAGCCCCAGATTTGCTCTACATAAATTCCATCAAACTCGCAAACTTTAAAAATTACATCACATTGCCTACACCATTAATTATCCCATATTTCAAAAAATAACAAAGAGTTGGATTAACTCACAAGCACAACACAAAAAAATTATGATTATCTCATTTTCAAATATTTATTTTTATTTATTTATCATTATACTGAGTCTACACACAAAGAGTTGATCCTCTCTTGTCTTCTTTTTTGCTACTCTCGGAGGGAAAAACACAAACAAAATAAAAATGCTTTTCAACTCAATAGTCATCGCCTTATAAAAGGATTAAATCTCATTGTGGGTATTTATTACTGTAAATTCGACCTTAAGATGAGAAAAAATAATATTGAGACTAAGTTGGAATAAGTCAGTTGTGAGGGGCTACAGCGCATTTTTTGTGGTTTGCATTGAAGCTATCAAAGATCTATAAAAGACTCCTTACAGCATGATTCCCTTCATTGATCTTATCACTCGACTCTCCGACAGATGATATCGAACTGATGAATTGACAGGCACTCGACCAGCCATGACACTTCAAAGAAGTTTATTCAATATCCAGGAACTGTTACTTCATCTGCATCTTGGAGCTGTAACTAAGGTCTGGTTTCCCAAGTAGACCAGAGTAGACGAGGGAACCAGCCCCTATTAGTGTCTTGACAGTTGAGAAGGCAAATAATAGTATCAACTTCATCATGCGGCTCAGAAGACAAGATAATGAATGTCCAGACAGACATTCAGTCATACAGACAAAGTGTGAACAGCGTCTTCCCATCCATCAAAGAATCATGGTCCAAAAAAGAACGAGAAGCACCAAGAAGTCGGACGTCACAACTCGGAATATTCGTCTAATCCTTTAACCCGAAAAAGAAGGATCATGACTCCATACTTTTATGATACTATTGTTCCGTAAAGTCATCGTCATACACAAAAGCAGTCTAATCCTGTTGTTGACAAATATCCTAGCTCTGTATATTAGATTAATAGCTCCTAAGTCACTTTCCTTTGTTTTTACTCTCGACTACGAAGAAACATTTCGTAATAATAGTTTACCTACTCATGTATAGCCTCTCATGTTGCCAGTAACCAGAGCAATAACAATAAAAGATTTATGATTATGCATAATCGTATTTTTGGTGAAAGACTTTTACTGACTTAAAACTTTGATGTTGAGCGAGGAGAGAGAGGAGAATTAAAGGGGCAAAAAAATTGATGGCGCTATGTCCTGACGTCTGTGGCTAGACCCTTTTTATTGTTGTTCTACATTATTTTCCTTTATATGCTTCTTTATTTGTTCAATTGTTTATTTTTGGAAGAGAGAAATTTATGCAAAAGGATTTTTTTCTTGTGGATGAAAATAAGATTTTTTTGTGAATTTTCAAAATTGACATTTTAAAATTTTCTGGATATCAATATTGATTTATAATGGCAATGCTTTTGAGATACACAACAAAATGGATTAGAATTGTCAAAGATTTAATGTGTTATTATTACCTTAATCTGTTTAATTTTATAAAGCTAAAAACTGGACCGAAGAAATTTAAATTGTGTACAACATGAGTTCAAAACTTATTCTGGACAATCTAATATAAATTTCTGTCACAAACCTTACGAGTCCTTGGAGTTTTATCATAAGGGACTTGGAATACTACAACAGATCATCGATCGCAGTGCCGTAATTGCTATGAGCAAAACTCTTCATTACATTCTTTTCTTATATTGGAGTTTTATTTCCTTCTTAATTGTATGAAAATCGACACATATGTAAATTAATCCGACACCAATAATGTGAATCTAGCATGTCACTGAATTAGATTTAGATTAACGCATCACTAGCGCTTTATCATAACATTACTAGGTACCATGATGAGGTATTTGATCAGTATTAATTCAGCATCAGTGTCTAATTTCAGCTTCTAATCAATGCAATGTGACATATTTTTTGCTTTAATGTCCTGCATCTTAGCTATGTCCCAAAAAGCACAGGATAATAATAAATTCCGTCCACAACGCCCGATTGACAGGCATTTTTATGCCATGTGCCTTTCGGATATGTTTTGAGTTTAAATTGAACTTTCTTTTCAATCTGAAATTTCATAATAATTTGTGAATATTTCAAAAAATTGAGTTTATATTAGTTCAATCATTAGAGCCGTTCATAAGTGATGTCAAGATGTAAGATTCTTGAATTTAAAAGTTTTGTCTCAAAATTAGGATGTCAGCAAATCTAATTTAAATCGACGCTATTTATAAACTACCCTCAAGAGCATTAATTCGACAAATAGAGATGCTTACCCTTAAAAATCCTTATCTGGACCAATCTTCAGGTACATCCAAATGATTTTATTGAACAATCATTTAATACCTACTTGAAAAAGCACTTGAAAAAAAATTGAAGAGAATTGTCACTGCCCCCTTAAGTCACACAAACTCAAGTAGGGATTAAATTAATACAAGTGAAAAGAAAATAAGAAGATGAAGATTTTTCTCAGAAGATGCTTGAGAAATGGAGACAAGGTAAGCAAACAAATGAATTGGAGGCAATAAAAAATTTATTGTTGATATTAATTTTGGAAATATTTGAATTAAATTTGATGGAAATTGAAGATTTCAAATAAAATAATTAAAGTTTAAATTTTAAATAAATTAGAAAAAATTGAGCCAATTTTCCTCTTGTCTCATAATCCCATCGATATCTCATTAACTCTTACTCCATATATCCATTACAAAAACCAACAATCCTTAAATATCCAATCGCATGTCACCAATCTAATTGCATAAAATCTTTGATTCCTCCTTTCCCAAAAAGTCTCATCAAGTGCTAGCTCAAAATTTCCATATACTCGAAATAATTCACATTTTTATGACTAACGGCTCTTCAATTTCCGTCTCTGAGACGACGACTTAATCCAGGTAGATTTTTTACTCTCTCCGTCGACTTTTGTGTTCTTTGTTTTCTTTATAATTATGAGCGTTTGTCAAGTTATTCTGTCACCAGACGTTATCAATAGTGAGGGCTTTAAATTCTCGTGCATTTTTCGAGCTGAGCTTAGTTGAGATTTTGAAGTGCAAGGTGCAAGTTGTGGATAAAGAAAAAATAATAATTTTTTTTTTAAAAATATTTTGAGAGAAAATAAAATAAAAATATTGAGAAAGTTTATGGAAAAGGAATTTTGAGAAAGTTTAAAGGAATTTAGAAACAAAAAAATTTAATTTCTTGAAAAAATTGGACTAAAATTTGAATTAAAATAACAAAAACTTTAAAAAAAAATAATTTTAAGTTTAAAAATTTTAAAAAGTGAAATAAAATTTTAAAAAATCAAAAAATTGACATTTAAATTTAAAAACTCAAAAAAACGTTAAAATTTAATGTAAAAATCAAAAAATAATAAATTAATATTCAAAAAATTAAAAACACACCAAAAAGAACTTCCAAAAATGATGCTCGACAACCAAATCACATCCCTAGACACCCAAACATACGGATACGAAATAATGGATACAAATCTTCCAGCAATTGATAAATTAACAAGTGCAACAAGTGTATCATTAAAATATTGGAATCCAGCAACAGATGATGATCGCTCCAACAACAATCACTCTGCTACTGCCGCTGTTATACTTAAAAATGGTAAGTGCTACAATAAAAAAAATGTTTCATTGACCGCACTGACTCTCTTTCTCTCCGTCTTCCTTCCACAAAAGAAATATTTCAAAAAATAAAAATCTTGATGATAAATTGACTTTAATAATATTTTATTTTTTCTTTTGTTGCTGTCTTGTTTCCGTGTGTGACTTAAATCTCCCTTTATTCAATCTCATTCCATATCTAAGCTACTGCTAAATGAGAAAGACATATGAGCATAAAAGAAAAGATGAAATTTATATTTAATAAAAGCCAATTTTATTCACATTTCGCGAGAAAGAATAAAAGAGTTTTTTGTGAGTAGGGAAATTTTTTGAGATGTTGGAGTGGATAAAGCGCATTTTTTGCAATTTACTACTTATTACGACTAGCTTTGATAAAATTTTAGAAGTTTTTCAAGGCTCTAAACCTTAAGTTATCTCTTTACTTATAATGAAGCTAGTTAAACTCAACTGTTCAGAATTTGAGGATCATTGACGTGTGGAAATCGAAAGATATGTCAAGAATAGAAATTTCAGACTCTTGTCCTTCCTTGGATACCACAAAGTTCATGAATGTCTGGTTGTTTACTAGAAATATTCAAAATCTGACTAGCAGTTCTCCTTAAAATTCATTGAAGTCAAATGATCTACAATTGTAGGTTTAATTCTTAGTGTTAGACTTCGATGAATTAGATGGACTTTCTGTCTTGCAACATAGACCTAGAGCATTGCTCTAAAACGCCGCTGGTGCGATTCTTACATTCAGTTGAAGTCTTCTCAATGTATAATTCAAGCCTCATTCAAATATAACCTCAAAATGAACCATTTAGTAATTCAGCACCCAATCTGCTCATCCTTTTACTCCTCTTTCAATCCTCACAACCTCCCACCACCACCAAAAACCAAAAAAAAACCAAAGAAAAAGCCATGCAAAAAAACAGAAAATTGAGATCATCACTGGCGTGTCTTTGGCACAGCAGCAGCAGCAAACAGTGAGATGGATAGATATTAAATCAAAGTCCTCGGGAGAAAAAAAATTACATATAAGAAATAAATAATATAAAAAAAAGTTACATTACATACATGTGATGTGTATTCAGTATAACATATTAAAACATTATGCGGTTATAGCATAAAAATTTCAATATGTTGCTTACACACATGATCCGTAGTAGATAGAGAGATGAATGTTGACAGGCAATGTGAGGGATTACAATATTTTTTTTTTATCTCATATCAATTTTGGGATGTATGGAAATAAATAAAAATGTATGGCTTATGAGCGAACAAAAAAAGAATTGATGGCAAAATGGCTTAGAAAGTTTTCTTTTGCATGGCTTCTTGTTTTCTGTGGGAAATATTGTATGGATCTTGTTATGTAATGAATGATTAGATTTCTGGTGTTTGGTGGATTGGATTAGGTTGGGTTGTAATGTGAGGGAGCCTTTAGGGGTGTTATTTGGTCCAAAATAATTGAGGAAATTTATACTTATGATTTTGTGGTCTTTTGAGTGTTTCAGGGTAGATTATGAGCAGGTATACCTAGAAACCTCATGATAAAGCTTCAAACTGCTTCAAACAGCTTCTAACGACAAAGAATCATGCATAATTTGACTTTAATTCCTTTAAACTCCTTGAAGTTTCAATTTTTAAACCTCCATACCTGACTAAAATTTTAAGCACCCCTAAACCCCCATCAATAGAACCAACAGCCCGCTCATAACTTCCTTCAAAATAAAAATAATTCTAATTTCAAAAAGAATCTCAAATCACACAACAATGCCATCAATACCACCAGTTGTGCCATATATGATTGCTAAAAAATGAAATATTTTTCTAAATAAATCTTTCACATCGCCATTGAGGCATGAAAGGCAGTGTAATATGCATACACCCCATTCATTCACTATATTGATACGCCATTATTTAGCATAAATATTTGCGTTTAACATATTTTTATTCAAATTTTACTTTTTCTTCTTATGTACGGTGTTTGGCGTTCAGCATCCGTAAATTCCCATAAATCCTTAATTTAATAGCTTTTTTTCTGGCTTCTTTTCTTCGTTATTGTGAGTTGAATGGATGAAAAAAAGACGAAGCTAGCTGGATAGGGGGTCGATTGATGGTTAAGTGATGCTAGTTTGTTGGTTAAGACCAGTGTTGTCCAAACTGTGTGCCGCGGCACATTGGTGTGTTGTAGAAATTTTTGTAAATAACGCGAGCCGCATGCTGTGTGCGAATTTATTAATGGCTTATCCATAAGGTGTGCCGTGGCTCAAAAAAGTTTGAACAACAATGGTTTAGACCATCATTTTTTAGCTAGCATCGATTGAGTTATTTCATAAATTATCTTGAACCCCAAATAAGAAGCCTAACCACTCAAACCCAAACCAAACAAGTGCACAACCCCCAACGCACTTGGTTCCTTTTTGATAGAAACGAACAGATATATTGTGATAAAAAAAATACGCAGAAAAAGCAGAAAAAATGGTGAAATATTTGAAATTTAAATTTTTCTTCTCTTGTTGAGTTCTTCTCCTCTGTTTCCGCATCCCACAATATCTTTCAATCGGAAAATATATGTATATCTAGTCGCTATTTTTGCATGAGAAAAGGAAACGAAGAGAAAAACAAACTTTTGAGGATGAGAAAGATGGAGATATGGGGAATAGAAATCTGTCTCATCACTGTCGGTTGGATGAAATGTTGAAGAAGAAATTTGGCGATAAAAATGCGAGGATTTAAAGTTGGGAATAAATTTTAAATTGGATATTTTTTTGTGTGCTTCAAGATTCTTAAACTTGTTAGGTTCTTCAAGCTAGCATATGCTTAAATCATTTCCATTTAACTTGAGGCTTACTTAAAAATTCTCTGTTTTAATAAAATTGCTTACTAGAGTTCAATTTAGTTGTAAGCAGAGGTCGAAGCGAGCATAGCGAAGCGAGTTTTTAGCAAGTTCGCTTCGCTAAAAATTCAACTTGCTAAAGTCGACCTGTAGCGAGAAATTTTTTTTTCTTTTCGCCTTAGCGACCTATAGCGAACTCAATTTTATTTTTTTCGCTTTAGCGAACTATTAGCGAACTTAATTTTTCAAAGTTCGCTATAGCGAACTATTGGCGAACTAGAAAAAATTTTTTGGCTTCATGTAAAGAGATGTCTGATTGCGTTTGTGAAGTATGTAATTTCATACAAAATTGCAAAAAATTATAGTTCGCCAATAGTTCGCTATAGCGAACTTTGAAAAATTAAGTTCGCTAATAGTTCGCTATAGCGAAAAAAATAAAATTGAGTTCGCTATGGTTCGCTAAGGCGAATAGAAAAAATTTTTTCTCGCTACAGTTCGACTTTGGCAAGTTGAATTTTTAGCGAAGCGAACTTGGCGAACTTGGCGAACTTGGCGAACCAAGTTCGCTTCGACCTCTGGTTGTAAGATTAACTTTTAAAACTTAAAACTAATCAAATTTTCCTTTTATTTCCAGAATCAAAAATGTCAGACATCATTGGACACCATAAAAGATCCAGAACAGCATATACTAGCATTCAGTTGGTAGAACTTGAGAAAGAATTCAACATTAACAAATATTTGTGCAGACCACGTCGTATTGACCTAGCCAATCGCCTTCAGTTGACTGAGAGACAAATTAAGATCTGGTAAGTGTCTGCATTCCTGTATACCAAAGATTCATAACTTCATGTTTGATTCAATGGGATTTGAACTTTTAAAATTCTTCATTTTCTAACCTCAAACTCCTTAACTTCAGGTTCCAAAACCGCCGCATGAAGCACAAGAAAGACACCAGCAATGTTAAATCCGCCAACAAATCATCCCCATCATCTCCAGTCTCGTCATCAGACAGTATTAGCAACCAGCAAATTTTACAACAATCACCAAAACAACAAGACACAATAAAAGTGGACGAATGTCATCAAAAAATAGTCAAGAGATTAATGTTACATTCACAATATTATCCATCAACAAGTGCAGTCAAAAGTGAAGGGAACATTTCGCCACCAAATCAAAATAATGTAGCTCAAGTCACGTCTTATCCTTATACAGTCTCACATTATCCAACATCGGCTTACAATTATCATCATCAAATCTACAGTCATAATAATAACAACAATAATGTTATGATGAATGATTATTATCAAAAAGACTATGGCTTGGTACAACAGCAGCAGTCGATGCAAAATTCATATGCATACAGCACAATCAACACATGTCTCACAACACCACCACCATTATCAACACCGCCTTCCATCAGTAATTTTGATTGCTCTCCATCAAGCAGCGATTACATTTTCAATGGCGACTTTAATTTGAACTTTAACGGTTCCGATTTTGATGCCTCATTTCCTCTCATTGACGGTATCAATAGTAGTAAATCGTTACAATTTTTCGATAATGATCAGACACTGGAAATAAAGCAATTATCGCCGATTAAAATTCAATCATTTGATGATGATGATGATGAGAAGAAATGCTTTAGTGATGAGAATGATGTTGTGAGCAGTAGCCAATCGATACAATTACCATCTGTTGCTGTAAATTGGAAATTTAGTGAGCCACAAATGGCGGCTTCTTATTAAGAATTTTTATTTTTTCTTTGTGGGATTTGAATTTTTGTTGAGATGTATTTAGCTTATCATCTTTTATGTAAATTGTAGATTTGAGATTTTACTTTCGAAATTGAATTTTTCACTTTCGAAATTAAATATTTCACTTTCGAAATTGAATAGTTCAGTTTCGAAATTAAAAGTTTCACTTTCGAAATTGAATGTTTCATTTTCTAAATTGAAAATTTCACTTTCGACATTAAAATTTTACTTTCGAAATTGAATATTTCACTTTCGAAATTAAATATTTCATTTTCGAAATTTAATAGTTCACTTTCGAAATTAAAAGTTTTACTTTTGGAATTAAAAATTATACTTTCGGAAAAAGAATATAGAAAATTTCACTTTCGAAATTGAAATTTATCACATTCAAACTTCGATTTGCGAATTTTTTTAATTCAATTTTTTTTCACTTTCGAAAAAAAAGAAGTGAAAATTTTCAAAAGTTAAAGTTTAAATTTTGAACATTTCACTTTCGAAACTGAAATATTTCATTTTCGAAATTCAAATTTTCACTTTCGAAATTCAAAAAATTCTTAGAAATCCACACTTTCTTCATTTTAATTCCAAATTAACTTTATTGTACAAAAAAGAATCATTCTGAAGAACCAAAAACCGAGTAGAAATCTCCAGATGACTAGAAAAAGTTTTATAATTCGATAGTTAATTTTTAATGATACTTATTCTTACTTTTATTATAGTTCTCATTACAATATGTTGAATCATTCACTCTCCGCTCTTAAAAAGATTCGTTCTCAGACATCGTCGGTGTGTGAATGAGCCAAAAATTTTAATAATAATAATCCGAAAATGTTAAAAACGATTAGGCAGAAGGAAAATTTCTTAAAATTAATTATATTTTGAGGGAAAAATCTGTTGAATGTAGACAAGAGGTAGAAAAGGATTTTTATTGCCAAAATCAAGCTGAGATTGACTAATTGAAAGTCATCAGCACTTTTTGATAACTTTAAATTGTATAATGAGAGTTTGTCAAGCACTTTTTAGTTTTTTTTTTGTGTAAAATGTTTTCATTAAGATTAGTGATTTTTATGATAGAATATTTTTTGATGGTTAACATCAAGCAGTGCCAGGGTAAATGACATTACAAATACATGTCGATATACCAGCCAACCACTCCCTTAATTTTACAAATATTTGTACATCTTTTTAGAATATTACATTTTTGTGACTTAAAAATTCAACTCATTGGATAAAATGATAATAAAAAAATTATTGATAATAAAATGTATTTCTTAAGATTTTTAAGTATAAAAAGATAAAATAAAATTATTAAAAAAGTGGGAAAAAAAGTTTAATTAAATTCTAAAATTTTCAATTTTAACAAAATATAAAGAATAAAAATCGAACCTTACAAATACTTTAAACTTTTATGGGATTCGAACCCAAACTTTGTCTTCAAATTAATGATTTCACTGAAATATTTCAATTTAATATGAAATTATTTTGACAAATAAACTATTTAAATTTTAAAAATAATTTCAAATGATTTATTTTCGAATTCATAACTGAGATTTAAACTTCAGGTAGTAAAAACAATGCCTAAACTAGTCAGTAAGCATACCAAACTACTCAGATAAGATCAAATTTTGCAAAACACTCAATTGTTCAAAAATTCTTATCGTCGTTCGAAAAAAATGTTCAATTGACCAAAACAAAAAGCATAAAAATTATTTACCGTAAACAAACCCTTGTTAAATTTGTAAAAAAGTATCAATAATCGTGCGAATGCTATCAACAGTCCCAAAAAAAAACACATCAAAATAAAAGATAACATTACTCGCTTCTTATTTCAATTTTAGGGTGTGAAAAACAATCAAAAGAAGTCAAGTGAACAAAGAAGGACCGACATTTGAAACATTTACATTTCAGCAGGGCATCCAGATCAATGACAATGACTCATAATTAAATGAATGTCACAATATCATGTTTAGAAGTAATAAAAAAAATGTGTCTATAAAATGCGGTTCCCTTCCATGGGTGTTCAATACATTAAATTTCAAGTATCTTTTAATCTAAAGCACTGTGTCGCAATTTTTTAAAAAACATTATTACTGATGAAAAAAAAGGGCAAGGAGCTCTCAGCATCGAATGATTATTATTTTTATTGTGCGGATGCTCAGCTTCGTGATTTTTTTTTTTTCGGTGGGTTATAAAAAATCATTTTTGAGCGAGAAGAGAAGCAAAAAATGACAGCAGTTTATTTATTTATGATTGCTTTCAACACCTACATTCAATGTTTATGATTCTTCTCAATTAAATTCACTTGGAAAAATATTTTTTTAGGTGCTGTTGAGGGGTGTGAGGTGTTAAGGATACAAGGCAGAAATATGAAGTGATCAAGAATCAGGGTTTGGAAATGTTTAAATAAACTATAAACTTAAGTTTAAAAATTGTCATAAGAATTTGTAAAAATTATCAAAAGCATTTACAATTTAGTGTTTGCTAGTAAGCAGTGCAAGTGAGAAGTTCGAATCTCAAAGTTTTCAAACATTTATAAACATTCACATTCCTTGAATAATTTATTTTTTTGCTTATATCTATTTACAAAAATTTATAGACTCATTCACTTCCCCCCGCACCCCACCTCGTCTCTTCTCTATCTTTCTCATTTACATTTTTCGATGTATCTTTATACCTAATCATTACTTTTTTTGTGTTAATGGTGAATCCATGAATTTAAAGATTCACTCAAACTCAATAAATGCGGTGTGTATGTCGCAATAAATGAAGGAAAGGAAAATCCGAAAATCATCATTGATAAGAACTAATATTGGTTAGAGGGAGTGAGCGAGAGAGTGTGCAAAAAACATTACTAAACGTTAATTAAGATAAAGTCTCTTTAGTCCCTCTGCCTAATAACAAACACTTTTCTATGCTAAAATGGAAAATCAATGTGTGTGTCGTTCACGTAAAAAATATTTTGTACATGCTACATATTTCATACGAATATTTTTTTTATTCTTCATCTTCATCGCATGTTATGAATAACTACACATAGTTTACATTCATTACATTGCTGCTATTTTCATTGGATTTGTGGATTAGGGATTTGAAAGTGGAATTGAAGAATGTGTCGAATTTCGAAACATTTTTCATTTTTAAAGCGATGGTTTGGTCAATTCTAAAGCAACGCTTCAGTCAAACTTAAAGCGAGGCTTTAGTCAAACTTAAAGCGATTATTTAGTCAAACTCAAAGCGTTGCTTCATTCAAACTTAAAGCGATGCTTCAGTCAAACTTAAAGCGAGACTTCAGTCAAACTTAGAGCGATGCTTCAGTCAAATTTAGAGCGATGATTCAGTCAAACTAAGAGCGATGCTTCTTTCAAACTTAGAGCGATGCTTCAGTCAAACTAAGAGCGATGCTTCTTTCAAACTTAGAGCGATGCTTCAGTCAAACTTAGAGCGATGCTTCAGTCAAACTAAGAGCGATGCTTCTTTCAAACTTAGAGCGATGCTTCTTTCAAACTTAGAGCGATGCTTCAGTCAAACTTAGAGCGATGCTTCAGTCTAACTAAGAGCGATGCTTCTTTCAAACTTAGAGCGATGCTTCAGTCAAACTTAGAGCGATACTTCAGTCAAACTTTGAGCGATGCTTTATTCAAACTTAAAGCTACGCTTCAGTCAAACTTAGAGCAATGCTGCAGTCAAACTTAGAGCAATGCTTCAGTAAAACTTAAAGAGATGATTCAGTAAAACGTAAAGCTTTGAGTTTCACCATAATTTCATGAATCTTATTAAGCTAATCCTGAACAATTTAACTTAATTAAATGTCATTTTATGAAGCTCCATAAGAACCGCTAGCAATAAAAGAACAGCAAGCAAGAGAAATATTAAAACGAAAGCCGCACATCCGGACATTTGGTGTACTTTTTGCACGACATACAAGTGTATATACATACACCATGCAAGTTGCATTCATTAGCAAACTAAAAGCATTAAAATATATTAATTTACAACAATGATGATTGTGAAAAAATGGAGTTGCATATAAATTTAATTTCTTGTTTTTGTGTGCATGCCTTTCTTGTGTACATGTCTAATTTATACACCAATTTAATGTACGAATGAAATACAAAATGCAGTTTCGTGCATGAAAAAAAAAATTGTGTGTAATAAAAAAGAGAAGAAAAAAAATCATTACAGACAAACAGTTTTATATTTTTAAAAAAACTTCCCTGTCGTTCATATTTGCGAGGCATGCAACCGACCTCCTATAATTATATGCAATTCATTCAATTCATTTTCTGTTCTCTCGCGTCGAGTAGTTGGGGAAGAACACATTAAATACACGGCCCCGTAAGAAAGAATAGCTGGCTTAGGACTCGTTTTGGTTGACTAGCATAAAGCGCATCTAAGTATAAGTGATGGATAGATAGCTAGACAGACAGAAGCTTTACTGTAGACATGGATGGAGATGTTCGACCTAAAGCGTACTTAGACAGACTGAAGCAAAGACTGGTAGGTAAAATAAAAGCCAGACTAAAGGAAAGATTGACAGCCAGACTGACAACCAGACTAAGTGACAAAAACTTTAGAAAATTGGGCTTAAAAAATGAAAACCTTGAAACAATCAGGCAATTTCACATGTACATGCACGACAGTGGCGTTGCACTGCGATTTTCTTTATTATTTTCCACAAAACAACGCTGCACATCCCACTTACTGCCATAACATTTAATTCTATTCAATGAAATTAAAAATGTATAATTTTCTTCGCTATACGTGCATTTCTGCCGACTTTTTTGCTTCTTCTTCTTGCTGTTACATTCACTGCGGTGGATACAAAAAATTTATAATTTTATTGTTGTATATTTATTGTTTCTCGTGTGCAAGACATTAAAAAGTGTAGGAGCAGAAAAATATGCTGAATAAGAAGATGGAGAAGTCTTTTAAGTCGAGGCTTTTGCAGCGATTATAATTGTGGAGATAATGTTTTGTGAGAATGAGATGCATGGAGGTTAATTGTTGATTCTTAGATTCGGAATGTGATGACATGAAGGTAGATTGAAGCTGGATTGGTTATCAGTGATGTGTGCATCTAAAACTATTAGTTAACATGGATTTTATATGGAATAGATTATTAAATTG